TAGTACCCACACACATAATATAATATTGTATTTTCTATTCAATTTTCATTCAATACCCCAATTTTCATTCTATTTTTATAATATATATATATATATATATATTTAATATATACATATATTTAATTCTAATAATTTCTAATATTATACGGGTAGAAAATACTCTACGTGTAGCTGCAGAGTATACCTTCCTATGTACATATACTCGTGTATATATAATATCAACTATCTCATTTTAACTATTATAATCCTTTTCTTTTCAAACTATTTTTCAAAATACTTACGAACAAAAAAACAAAACAACAAAACAAAAGAAAAAGAATGAAAAAACTCCATTCATTTCTCAACAAAAAAACTGATTCTTTCTCTTTCTGTCATTAAGTTTTCCAATCAAATAAAATTTTTCTTTTATTTTTCGTATTATTTTCAGTGCATTCATAAAGGAAATTCAGTATACTACATATGCGTGAATATTCTACATGTATGTATGTATATATGAAATTTTTAAAAGAATGGCTAGTTTTATTCATTGTCACCATCCTGTATGAAATTTTACACCACTTTAGTATTTTTGTTTTTCTTGTTTTTTATACTGTTCTTATACTCCTATAATAAATTGTTGTTGCTATTTTGTTACAAGAATATTTTAATATTATATTTTTCATTCATATATATATAACATTAAGGATAAAAAATTCATATATATCCATATATATAATAGTATATATAGATATCTATATTTTCTTTGAATGTATATGGTTTAGATATTCTAATTATAGAAGAAGTATGTGTTGAAAAGTGTTATTTTATATTAAAAGAAGAATAAAAGAATAATAAAATTATGGTATATATTCATATATACACCATAATTTTTAGTTATATATATATATATATATATATATATATATATATGTGTGTTATATACGATCTAAGGTGTATATAATAAAATAATAGGTAACAATAATAAAAAGAAAAGAAAAATTTTGTTAAATCGGGAATTTGATTTAAAAAAAAAAAAAATAAAAATTCACCACCTTTTAAAAAAAAAATAGTTAAGGTGTAAAATTTTTAATGTGTTGTATTAAAAGTGTTTATTTCTTGAAATATTTATGTACAACATATATGTGATTTTTGTTTTTGTTGCTTTTCTGGTTGTTCTTCTTGATTTTATATATGAATAATTAAATATTTATTAAAAAAAAATTATATGTATATATTGTAGTATGTATTTACAATGTAGTTGATTGTGTGTCTATTAGCCGTCATAAGCCATTATATACCAGTTTTGTTATATTTGTCATTTTAAGAATATAATTTAGACCTTTAAAGATAATTTTAATGAAAATGCCATAAAATAATAATAATTTGCTTGCTTTAAAAGAGTTTCTTGCTCCCAATAATTATGTATTTTCAAAAAAGAACTATGAGTCTATTGACATACACCTTCGTTTGTGTGATATTAATTAACAGTATTAAATAAGTAAATAAAATTTATTATTTGGATAGAGGTTTTAATCTAGTATTAAAAAAATTTAAGATTACTTGCAACAAACATCATTTATAAATTAAATAATTACACTTTTGCCTAAAAATATGCAATATAAAGCATAATTTATTAATTTACTTATTACAGGGTCTTAAGAAACAATACTATTTACTACAAATATTATAAAATAATAAAAAAAATGAAAGGTTTCGAACGGAATAATTATATATTCCTCATAAGCTTATATAGGGAACCTTACAATCATAAAGAAAATTAATCTAATTAGAAATTTAATAAAAAGATATTTTACTGTAACAATTTTAGTTTGCCAATCCAAATAATGTATTTTTGTTTATTTTGAGCCTATTATATTTCGACAAAAACATGCGTCACTTTAAATATAGAATGTGGTCTTATTCTAATTTTGTTTTAAATTATAAAATTGGTTATATTATTAACAGTGAATGTAATAAAAATTTTCCGACGGCATATCATTAGTTTTTAAAAATTTAACTAAGTTTTAGCTGAATTTTTTTATTTTATTAAATATTTAATATTTAAGGTCCATTTCTAAAATTGGACGTTCCATGCCACGAACCATATATTAAGAAGGAGAATAGTTAGTTATAGTTCCTTGAATATTACGCATATGGATCCGAATACTGTATGTAAATAGATATGTATGTCTTCCATTAACCCTGCATTCCGATTATTACACAAATTAAATTATAATAAACTTTAAGAGAAAAAAGATTCCAAAACATGCAAAAAAAAAACAAAAATTTAAAGCGTAAGAAATGGAAATAAATTCTCTCTCTCTCTCTCCTTTATCCTTATTTCTTTATTATTTTCCAACATTTTTCTACATAAATAATTCACACGTTTCTTCTTATTTAATTTTAGTATTCTTTTATAATTTTTTTTTTTACATAATTTTTTAATTTTATTATTTCGAATAAAGTTCTAACATTGCTGTATATATCACCATATGCGAGCTTTTTACATAGTTACATATATATCTTGATATTCAGTATAATTACTTACATTCATATATCTTCATATTTTTAACATTAAATTATCCTTGGAAAATAAATTTTCTGTAATAAATAAAAATTCTAAAAAGAAATTTTTACAGACACATATTATTCTTACTTACATTAAAATGTTATACATACATATATATTAAATTACAGACTCTTATATTTAACATGTCAAAATGAAATTCACCACATTATAATAAAAAATAAGAATCCAATTTGAAAAATTAATTTTTGAATTAAACCATTCATTTTATTTGCAAACCACTAAGTATTTTAGTTTATTTCAAAAAATTCTTATATTTTCCCTTTTTTAAACGAAATTCACCACACGAATTTTAAAATAATTGTTATACACATATTATTTTACACCTATACTATTGTGTCTTACCAGTAGAATAATATTTTGAAATTATTACAAAAAAAAAATTTAATACAAGAGTAAATTTTTCTCAATCTAAAAATTCTTATTTGAAATTATGTTCGCATGTAATTGTAATACAATAAATTGATAAAAAAAAATTTTTATATAACAAAATGAGAAGAAATAAATTTGAAATTAATCAAAAAGCTCTTCTTCTTAATTCAAAAAGAATAAAAATTCAGGTATAGAGAAATTTTCAAAAAAAAAAACTCTACTACTTTGTATATGTATACATGTATTCGTTCAGAATGTTTCACCATGATAATATATTATTTATAACTGTTATATGGATATAAATATAACAATATTATATATAGTAAATATTTTTTCTCAATGTATTCGGTTTGTTAATATGAAATAGAATATAATAAAAAAATGAATAAGAAAAGAATACTCAAATACACTTGCATTTATTTTTTGCATAATAGTATTGGTGTGTATAAAAGTTATAATCACGGAATATAAAAAATGTACGTTTTAGTAGTATGAGTAGTATAGTAATAGTAGTCATAAATGTTCTCTATTTTATGTGACTATTATAAAGGTTTGATAGTGTTTGCGTTATAACACAAACACATATGCGTTCCGTTAATAATTACACTAACACATCTTTGACAAATAGTATTTTCCATTTTAATAAAATAGTAATAATATACATACATGTGTATATATTTATATATACAAATGTGTTATACAGTAATAATATAATCGTTATATAGGAAAGAAAAATGAAAACGTAACAACAACAACAACAACACTAAAACACAATATAAATAAAATGAATGTGAATATGAAAACGGTGAAATAAGAAAATAACAAATGGTATAAGAAAAATATAGAAAAAAAGAACAACAACAACTACAATAAAAATAAGAAAAATTAAGAAGAAAGAAAAAATAAAAGCATAAAATCTGAAAGATATTTTTATAGGGTTGTATTGTATTTTGAAATGTATGTATTAACCAGTTCGCAATCGACCGGCGTGAAGTTTGTGTCATAAAACGACGTATGTTTGACGTTTGAAAAAAAAAACAAAAAAAAACCAACAACAACAATACTACACAAATAAACAAAATAAAAATAAGAAAACAAAACGTTTGTCTTTTTTTTTCTGTTGTTTCTTAATTTGTTTTCTTTTTTTTTTTTTGCTATAATAATTTGTTTATTCCGTTTAAAATATAATTAGAATACGTTTTCTATATTATAATAAATAATATATATATATATATGTAATTAATATACGTGTATTTAAGAAATTATAAAATTAAAAATAAATTTTTTAACATAAAAACAAAAAAATGTTGAAATTTTTAAAATAACCAAGAATTGAGAATCCTTAAGAAAACACAAAAAATATGATGAAAATCTGGCAAATTGTATAGATATACAAAAAAAAAATTCAAAATATTTTTAATTATAAATTTTAAAATTATTCTAAAATTAGAACTGAATTTAACAATTATAAGAATTAAGTTTAAAAAAAAAATGTTGCAATAAATTCATTATAATTGCAATATTGAAAATATTTGTTATATATACGGGATATAGGGCGCGTGTTTTCGCGTCTCTATATAAATATTATATATACATATATGCATATATATATATATATATAATTGCAAATTCTATAATATCAAAACACATGGTTGTTTTTCTTCAAAATAATTTTTTGTATAATTAAAACTTGTATACTTACAACAGAAGAAACAAAAAATATTTAATAAAAATTTTTTTGTAAAATCAAAGTAATCGAAATTTTAAATATGACAAGCAAAAAAATATTCAAATTGAAATTAAATTGAAGATCTAGAAATATAATAATTTTTTGTTATTTAACTCATAATACACAAATATTTATAGGAAATTTAAAATAAAAGCGAGAAATGAAATTTATATTAAAATTATTGAAATAAATAAGAAGAGGCTATATTATAACCATGTTTTAATGAATTAAAATTAATTCAAGAGTGTGAAAACATCTTAAATAATATTCATGAAGAAAATACAAAAAAAATTCAAAAATTTTTTTCAAAAATTTTTCAAATATGGCCAAAAATAAATGTAGAAGAAGTCATTTATAAAGTGAAATAAAATAAAGAAGCCAACAGTATAACAATAACAAAATTATATGAAATTATACATTATTTAATAGTTTAATATAAGAGTTACAAAAAAATATTTTAAATAAATATTAAAGCAGTGCAATTAATAATAAATTATAAAATCTATAAAATATATACACACACACATACAAATAAATAAAATATTAAAATTATAAAACAAAAATTACAAAATAAATTTTATAAAGAAGCAAAAGAAGAAAACAAAACAGTGTGTAAAAGTGCAAAAATTTAAAAAAATTTATTTGAAAATGCAATATAATTAAAATACAGAATTTAAAGTGCATATAAATTTCATAAATTAAATGTAAAACAATAAAAACAAACATAATTATAACATTATTAAATAAAATAATATTTGCTTTGAGTGACAAAAAAAAAAACAAAAATAATCATAAAATATTTTATCACCTCTCTCAACTCTTAATAATATTTATATTTCAATTAATTATATTAAATATTTTAATATAAATATATTATATAACAAAAAATTTTTTAATAAAATTGTGATGTGATGAGATACGACGTCCAAGAATTACTTCAATCTGACGATACCATCAGTAGGTTTGCGAATGGGATGGCATATCATCCATTCCTGCAGCTACCAAGGCCCACTGACTTCAGCGTATCATCGCTGTTGACGGCGGGTACAACATCACCCCCACATCAGTCACATCATTCTCTTAGTTCTAATAGTAATAATAATAACAGTAATAATAATAATAGTGTTAATACAAATAATAATAATAATAATAATAATTTATCAACAACAACATCATCAATAAGTGGAACAATAACAGCAGCACAAGGTGCTACAACACCAAATTCATTACAATTAAATTTATCTGGTGGTCAAAATTCACCAGTTGGTTCAACAACAATACAAAGTCAACAACAACATTTAATAACATCTAGTTTAAATAGTAATAACAATAATAATAGTAGCAATAATAATAATAATACAAATCAAACGATATCAACATCATCATCTCCTATTAGTTCTAATAATAATAATAATAATAATAGTAATAGTAATAATAATAGCAATAATACAACACAATTATCTCATCACCATCATCATCATCATCATCAACATCATTCTCAGTCACATTCAAATCAATTAAGTCCAACAATATCTTCATCATCGTCATCGTCACATCATCAAACGACATCGGTACCTTCAACACAACAATCAGCAGTTGTACAACCACCACAGCCAGTAGTACCACCACAACATCCACATCCACATCATCCACATCCAATAACAGCAGGTGGTCATCCACCAGTACCACCACCACCAGCTTTTCCTCCACAACCGTATTTTCCAGCTGCAGCATTAGCAGCATTAGCTGGTAGTCCAGCCGGACCACATCCACATTTATATCCAGGTGGTTTATTACCTAAATTACCACCACATCATCCACACGCTCATCATCCATTAGGTACACCATATACAACAGCTGAAGACGTTTTATTATCATCGGTTGCTGCACATCAATTACATCCAGCTATGAGACCATTAAGGGCATTACAACCAGAAGATGATGGTGTTGTTGATGATCCAAAAGTAACATTGGAAAGTAAAGAATTATGGGAAAAATTTCATAAATTAGGTACCGAAATGGTTATTACAAAAAGTGGAAGGTAAGTGTTATACATATATAATTTTTCTATATAATATAATAATTATTAATAAGTGATCGTTAACGTGATTGAAAATACCCATAAAATACTGTTACAACATTAGGAATTAGGAAATTTTTTATTACAAAAAACTTGATGCATTTATACTAATAATAGTGCCACGTTCATTTTAATAATAATATTCGACATTTTAATCTCAATCTAAACTCTCAAAATTCAATTTCCCAAAATAATATTTTTAATGCCGTCGGCTTTACTCTCTTTTCTCATATAAAAATTTCATATTTTTGCTCTTCATTCTTTATTTTGTTTTCTCGTTTTATTGTTTTGCCTTCTTAACGATGTAGGCGCCACAGATATTAACGTTTAATTTGCGAATCATTGCAAGAAATTTTATGATCCATATTAATTAGAATGCATTTTAATTCTGTATAATTGCAATAAATTTTGTATATTAAAACGGAAATTACCAAAACCAAGTAAGAAAAATATCGAAGACAAAAAGAGAAAATTTGAAAATTCAAGAAAACGCTGTAAGAAATAATAAAATGTACTGTCGATTATTCGATGATTATTCAAACATCTGCTATGTTATTTTTCATTTAAAGAAAAAGCCGGCGCTAAATATGTTTTGGCATATTAAAATAAAATGTTGGAGAAAAACAAAAAGAAGGCTTAAAATTGTCAGAAAAATGTCGGCATCTTTTTAATTTTCTACTTAAAAAAAAAAAATTAATAAAACTTAAAGAAAAATGAGAACGAAAATGTGTAAAGACCAAAATTTTATCTCACATTTTGAGTAAAAATTTCCTTAAAAAGTGCAAAAAAGTACCAAGAAAAGTCCTGTGTTTCACAATTCGCCTTCTTTTATGGAATCGCAATTTGTATGGCATGACATTATTTTGCTGCTGTGTACTTGCTTGAAAAAAAAAATTTTCATCTTGTCATCGTCTCATTTGTTATCTTGGTGGGGTTTAGTATATGCTTTTTTTTTTTTTTGGTTTTTGGTTTTTGATCTCATTCCCTATACTTGAATATCTTGCGCTTTTATTTTTCTGTTGAAAATCACCATATTTTTTCGCTACGATTAATTAAACGTTTTCGTAAATTAATTTTGTGATTTATTTCGCTGCGCTTTATATACAAAAATAAGTAAAAACGAAATAAAAATCAAAAGCACAGCTAGATCGTATAATAAAGAGTGAAGCAACTTGGGATTTATAAAGAAGCTTGCCAGTTTATATTTTATTGTAGGGATTAATCTGAATTTAACGATATGTTGATTTTTTTGATCAGAAAATTAATTTTTAAAAACCCAAAAAAAAAAAAAAAACAGAAGAAAAATTCTTATTCCTTTGGTTTCTTAAAATGCAAGATTTTTAATAAAGATTTGAGAAGAAATTTATTGTTGTTTTAAGTAAATTTGATTTTATGTTGTGGGTTGTTTTTATATACACACACACAAACTTCGTATTTGTAATAATTACTATGGGATGAGTGGGGCTTGAAAATTTTTTTTAAACAAATTGTTTAAATTTTCGAAATTAATTCAGAAAATCAAATTCTTAGAATGCATGTAAATTAATTATGTGATTTTTTGTTCTTAAGAAAATAACAAGATTTATGACATTTTTATTGCTATTATACTTTATTAATACATAAATTGTTGTAATTTGTTAGTTTTACCACCATGAAGGAGTTCAAATACGAATTTTGCAAGATAATTAAAAATTTAATAATTTTTACGCATTTAAGATTCCATAAATTCTGTCTAATTAAGTTTAAATTCGCAAGAGTCCAGTAAAACATGTGCTAATGAAAATTTGAGTTTTAGAAATTATGGTCTATGAGGACTTTAAATCTGCAAATTTTAATCATTTAGGCATAAATGGCAGTGGAATATTATGATAAATTTTTCTTATATGTATTCCGGTTAAATATTGGATGGTATATTGCAATGTGAGTTCAATTAAATACCATATTTGCAAGTTAAGCTTATACTGACTTTGCATAAGCCTTACTTAATTGAGAGTGTATTTTATATAAATTTTAATTAATTATTTGGTATGTAATAATTATTTTAATTCAAATAAGAAATTGAAATGAAAATTTTTTTTCTTGCTCTGAATTTGTTAAGATTTATTTGTAAAATTGACCAATTTATTTCACATATAAAGCATTCAACTATTGTGAATTATTTTACTTAAGATGGTGTCGTATTTAAAAAAAAAAATGTGATAATTAAATTGTAATTTCACTATAAAAATTAATTATTTCTCCATTTTAATTTAATTTTGTATATTGCCATTAATGTTTTCTGTTCCATTTTACTGTTGTGCCAGTTAATATTGTGATAATTAACTACTAAAATTGTTTTATTTGCAATTTAATCAAATTATTTGTTGCAATTTTTCATTTAGTCGAGAATTTTTTTGAAGTTTTTGTCTTTAGCTTTATGTAAAATTAAATACTTTGCTACAGAAATATTTTTTGAATGAAAAGGAATGCAAAGGAATTGATTTTTATTGTGTCTTGTCCAGTTTACTTGAATAATTCATTGAAATCCTATATAATATTCCTATTTGTTGATTAAATGTTTTTAATATAGAATATAAAAATATTAAGACATTAAATTAATTAAATTTTAAATAAAAATCAATTAGAGATGATTAAAATCAGTTAAACATTGATTTTATAGATTAAAAATTATAGATTGATTAATTTAATTGCAACCAATTTAATAATGTCATACATTTCAGCCATTGTGCTTAGTTTGAAGAACTAGTGACTCATTTTTTATTATAAAAAATCAATTTTACGTAAACATCTTAAATTTTCAATTATTTGCAATAGATTTATTTACTAAATGTAAGTAATTATTGTTACAATTTGAAATTAATTAATCAAATCTTAAAAAATGTACTAGATCAAGTTTAATTGACAAGTTAATTAGTAAGTATATAAAAAATTTAATTGTATCCAAGCATAGATGTGTTAGAATCCGATTCTTAGTAGGATCAATTAAAATATTATTCTGCTATAATTTCATTACTTATATAATGAATTGTTAAAATAGATGCGACTATTCTGTTAGTTAATTTGTTCTAATTTTCTTGTGTTTTTTAATATTTCATTATTCTTAATTATAACGATTAATTTAAGTTGCAAATAATTTTTCTTTAAGTATCAGAATTTTTCTATTTTAAGTAAATTTTAAAATTTTATCTACATTTTTTTATTTTTTAATAATATTATAATTTTCCTGTGAAAATTTACAAGAAAAACGAAATTTTCAATTCTCATTAATTTCACAAATTAATTCCAAGTAGAATTTAAATATTTTATTTGAAAACTCTAGAAATTATTTTCTGCCAATTCGTATTTGTAACTTAAGTACTGTAGGAATGGGAATATTTTTGTACTTCTTTAAAGATATTAATTTAATTAAACTGTTATTAAAATTATTAAAAATAACAAAACCTATATAGGTACGATCCTTTTAAATTTAAAAATGTTTCTAACACAAAAAAGATGTTATGTTCAGTGTTCATTCAACTTCGTACAAGACGCAAGTAACTCAATAGTATATTGCGATGTAGCTGTATAATATTTTCCTTCTATAATTTCTATGGAAATTGACTTGTCGCAGTAGCTATTAGTATGTCTAAAATAAATAATTTTTAAACTACATTTTAAAATTGCTAAGACTCAATGACGAAGAAAGTGTCGTTCATTTTACTCCCACTCTAACGTTTAAGTGAAAATTTTCGAAGATTTTTAATAAAATCCTATAATTTGTTAATGAAGCTTCATACTATAGAATATATAGATTAATTTGGTTGCATATTCAAATTTTATTCATATTAAACAGTTTCGCTTTTAAAATTTTATATTTTTAAAATTATTTTCTAAAATCTATACATAACACCAAGTTCAATTATCCTCTTAATTATATTAAAGAACTCCTTTTTTATTGTTATACAACTAAAAATATTATCCCTAAGTTTCTTGAGTGGGTTTGATAATTTCATTTACTCATAGTATTTAATTTAAATTCAATTTCCTTCGAAGTAATTTCCAAAGTTTTCTACTCCATGAACCAACTTATAACACCATCTATTTTACCAGCTTAAAACATATATATATTACATATATAAAAGTAGAATATGTATTACATATCGAGATGATGCTGATGATGTTCATTTAATTTTAAGTGGGTAGATTGTGTAACCAACAAATATAGAGAAAATGAAAAAAAATAAATTCCAATTTCATAAATATATATAGAGAGAATTGGTGGGTACAAAGTTGGGGGTGGGTTTTTTTTTTTGTAATTCACAATTTTATTACTTATATTTTAATTTTTTTCATTTATTAAATTTTCTTCACTGAAAAATTCATTTGATTATCACACCTCAGTACAGTTGAATAAATGACGTTTTTTACTTTAGTTTTCCTTTTTTTTTATCCTATTTTCCTAATTTTAGAATTATTGTATACTAAAATGTTTCTGGGGGGGTATAAGGTTGGAGATGGAGTATATATGGATTTTTTTTTATGAATAAAAGCGAAGGCGAAAAGTGCTAAGTGAAATTTTAATTTTTTTTTTTGTTTATTCCTCAATTAATTCAACTATAGCCTTTATATTATGGGGGGAACTTATTGAGAGCTATTTTAAATATAAATTTTAGTATTTTTAGCGTGTCGCGGTTTAGTAGGCAAAAAAAATATAATAGAGGCAACATTTAACTTTTTGATTAAATTGTGTATTTGAAAATAGAAAAAATTGAAACAAGTACAGAGGAAATTTAATAGAGGACCAACATCAAAATATGAAAAAATAGAATTTATGAGAAAAATCATTAAAATTAAATTAATTTTTTTTCCTGCTATTTTTCCATTAAGTAGGTTAATTTAGCAGATTTCAATTGTTTTAAACATTAATTTCGTTTTTTTATGAATTAAAATTTAATTTGTAGAATTTTCTGTATACATTCATA